TTGACAGTTGACAACAATGCAAGTGTCAAACAACGTGTCCAAAATCAGTATACAAATAGCAAAGTTCAATCGATAGGAACTTTGCTGCATGTACACTATGGTAGACAGTTTAGTTTACACTTTGCCACGTGACGTTACCCTATTGGACAATTTAAATTTTAAATAGTTTTCCCATCCAATTGACACTTGAATACAATGCAAGTGTCAACGAACGTGTGAAAAATCAATGTAAAAATAGCAAAGATCAATAGGAAAGGACCTTGCGACATGTACTCTATGGTGTACACTTTAGTTCACTCTTTGCCACATGGCATTACCCTGTTCGACAATTTTCCTATCCAATTGACACTTGACAAAAATCCAAGCTACAAACAGCGTGTCAAAAATGAGTGCGCAAGTAGCAAAGTTCAATCGATATGAACCTTGCGACATGTACACTATGGTGTACACTTTAGTTAACACTTTGCCATGTGACATCACCCTATTGGACAGTTTAAATTTCAAACAGTTTTCCTATCCAATTGACACTTGACAACAATGCAAGTCTTAAACAACGTGTTAAAAATCGGTGTACAAATGGAAATGTTCAATCGAAAAGGACCTTGCTACACGGACAATATAGTGTACACTTTAGATTACACTTTCCCACGTGACATTGCCCTGTTTGACAATTTAAATTTCAAACAATTTTCTCATTCAATTGACACTTGAAAACAATCCAAGTGTCAAACGATGTGTCAAAAATTAATGTACAAATAGCAAAGTTTAATTGGTATGAACCTTGCTACATGTACACTATGGTAGACACTTTAGCTTACACTTTGTAACGTGACATTACCATGTTGAACAGTTTAAATTTCAAATAGTTTTCCCATCCAATTGACACTTGACAACAATGTAAGTGTCAAACAACGTGTTAAAAATCAGTGTACAAAAAAATTAGTGTACAAATGGAAAAGTTCAATCGGAAAGGACCTTTCTACATGTTCACTATGGCGTACACATTAGTTTATACTTTGCCACATGACATATCCCTGTTGGACAGTTTAAATTTCAAATAGTTTTTCTATCCAATTGACACTTGACAACAATGCAAGTGTCGAAGAACGTGTCGAAAATCAGTGTACAAATAGCAAAGTTCAATCGGTAAGAACCTTGCTACATGTACACTATGGTGTACACTTTAGTTTACACTTTGCCACATGACATTACTCAGTTGGACAGTTTAAATTTCAAACAGGTTTTCCATCCAATTCACACTTGAAAACTATGCAAGTGTCAAATAACATGTCAAAAATCTGCATACAAATAGCAAAGTTCAATCGGTAAGAACCTTAATACATGTACACTGTGGTGTACATCCTTTAGTTTACACTTTGCCACGTGACATTACCATGTTGGACTTTTTAAATTTCAAACTGCTTTCCCATCCAATTTACACTTGACAACAATATAAGTGTAAAACAACGTGTCCAAAATCAGTGTACAAATAGCAAAGTTCAATCGGTAAGGACCTTGCTACATGTAGACTATGGTGTACACTTTATTTCACACTTTGCGACGTGACATTACTCTTTTGTATAGTTTAACTTTCAAATAGTTTTCCCATCCAATTAGCGATGGGATTAAACCCGTGAGTTGAAAAACTCAATATGTGTCATAGGTGCATTTGTGATCAAGCTATACATTTCAAAACATTAACTTTATAACTTTTCATACATGCCGTGCCCGGAGGCGCCATTTGACATGAAGGGGTATGCCGTACCCGAGGGCACCATTTGATATACGAACATTTCTTCAACATAGAGGGGTATGCCGTACCGGGGTACCATTTGACATACAACCATTAACATAGAGGGATATATTGTATCGGAGTACCATTTGACATACAAACATTAACATGAATTGAAACTTATAACTTAACACGATTAAACACATTGCATCTCTACCTACCTTGATTGATGCTTTTGAAACTTTGAAAACTTGGATTGAAAACTTTGATGAAACTTGGATGTTGAAAGAAATGCACTCCTTGGATGTTTGAAAACCGTTGAGAATTGATGCTTGAAGATACTCCTTGATAGCACCCAAAACTTCTATGAAAAATGCTTGAAAACACTTCTTAAACTTCTAGGAAAAATAGTTTTCCTCCCTCTCTTTTTCTCTCTTGGAAACTCTTTCTTTAGTATGTAAAAGCTCTTGCTTTTGGTGTGAGAAAAAAATGAGTGAAATGAGGTCTTTGTTTATAGGTAAATATCCCATAACTTAAAGCAAATGAAGGGTCAAATTTCATTTAAGAGAGAAAACATGGGTGCCATTTAAGTTTGATGTTAAATGCTTCAATTTAGTGGGGTTTTTATTGCCAAAAATGTGGGTAGCCCTTTGAGAAAATACTTGATGAAAATAAATATTTAAATTCTAGAGAAAAACGAGAATTTTCATTTTAGGCAGTTTCGATCGACCGGTTGTAGTCCGGTTGACACTGCACAGCTTTCAGTATTTCTATCATAACTTCTTCTTTCGATATCTGATTGAGGTAATTCAAAGTGCGTTGGAAAGCTAACTCAAAGAGCTACAACTTTCATTTAGATATAATTTTCCAAATTGAATGTTTCCTATGTCAAAAATGGGTCTCAAATGAAATTAAAAATCTAAAGTATATTTTAGTCATCCAATATTCATGTCTTAGTGCCACTAAGGTGTCTAGAATTATTTGGGGTTCTACAATTCCAATAGTTTTTTGGAAAATGTTATTATACACAAATTCTACCAAAGGTATATACGATTCCCAACTGCCTCCTAGATCTAGATCACAAGCCCTTAGCATATCTTCCAAAGTTTGAATGGTCCTTTCAGACCGACCATCAGATTGAGAGTGATATGCTGTACTGAAATTCAATTTCGTTCCCATAGCTCCTTGTAAGCTCTTCCAAAACTTTGACGTAAATCTCGGATCTCTACCAGATATAATGGAAATGGGGACACCATGCAATCTTACAATCTCTCTAATGTATAACTGTGCCAGCTGATCTAGACTGAATGTCATTTTTACTGGAAGAAAATGAGCAGACCTTGTTAGATGATCCACTATTACCCATATAGCATTTTGTCCTCTTTGATGTTTCGCTTTAACTTGTTGGCATACTATGCATTTTTGCCACAAATGAACCTATACTTCTTTTCATATTCCTCCACCAAAATGTATTTCGAAGGTCTCGATACATTTTTGTACCACCAGGATGTGCGACATACAGGGTGGAATGAGCCTCCTCCAATATCTCCTTCCTCAAAACTTCATCATTTGGTACACAAATTCTTCCTTTGAACATTAGTGCTTGATCCGAAGCTATTCCAAAATCGTTTCTCTTATCAGTACCAATCTCGTTCTTGATCTTCTGAAAGAATGGGTCTTTATCTTGTGCTTCTATGATCCGATCTCTAAGAGTAGGTCGAACCACCAAAGTTGCTAAATGAGCAGTGACTTGTTCTGGTGTGGTAATCACTTCAATTTGCAACTTTTCCAAGTCTTTGATCAACTCCATCGAAATAGTAGGTAATGATGCCAACTCTCCCATCGACTTTCTGCTTACATTAGCCTTACCCGGATGATAATAAATAGTGCAATCATAATCTTTCACTAGCTCCAACCATCGTCTCTATCTCATATTAAATTCCTTATGTGTGAAGAAATATTTGAGACTCTTATGATCCGTATAAATATCGCACTTCCCTCCATATAAGTAATGGCACCATATCTTTAACGCATGAACCACTGCCGCAAGTTCTAGATCATGCGTCGGGTAGTTCTGCGCATGTTGCTTCAATTGCCTTGAAGCATAGGCAATTACTTTTCCATGCTACATCAGTACACATCCCAAACCTTGCTTGGATGCATCACTATATATACACAAACCCTTCTGAACCTTCAGGTGTGGTAAATACAGGTGCTGTGATCAATCGTTGTTTTAGCTCCTAAAAGCTTTTCTCACACTTATCTGTCCATTAAAACTTTACTCCTTTCCTTGTCAATTATGTCATTGGTCCAGCTATTTTGGAGAATCCCTCTATAAATCTTCGATAGTACCCAGCCAATCCTAAAAAACTTCAAACTTCACCAGCATTAGCCGGTGTCTTCCAATTAGTTACTACTCTACCTTTACTGGGTCCACTTCAATTCCTTGGGCAGTAATTACATGACCGAGAAATCCAACTCATTCAAGCTAAAATTTGCACTTTTTGAATTTCGCATATAACTTTTCCTTGCATAGTATCTCTAACGCTATTCTAAGATGTTCCTCATGTTGATCTCTACTCTTGGAGTATATCAAAATGTCATCAATGAAGACTATAGTAAATTGATCTAAATACTGATGAAATACTCGATTCATTAGATCCATGAACACTGCCAGAGCAGTTGTCAATCTGAATGGTATAACTGTGAACTTGTAATGTCCATAACGAGTTCTAAAAGCTGTCTTAGGTATATCATCTACCTTAACCTTCAATTGATGATATCCCCTTTCAATTGATCTTAGAAAATGCCTTAGAAAATGCCTTAGCCCCTTTCAATTGATCAAACAAATCCTCAATTCTAGGAAGAGAATACCTATTCTTGATGGTCAAATGGTTCAACTCCCGATGGTCGATACACATCCTCATACTTCCATCTTTCTTCTTTACAAACAATATTGGTGTGCCCCATGGTGATACACTTGGTCGAATAAAACCAAGGTCTAACAATTCTTGTAACTGATTTTCAACTCCTGAAGTTCCTTTGGGGCCATTCTGTATGGGGCTTTAGATACTGGCGTCGCTCCGGGAACCAGATCTATTGTGAATTCCACTTGTCTATCTGGTGGAATACCACGTAGATCTTCTGGAAACACATCTATAAATTCTTGTACCACCGGTACATCCTCAATCTTTGTCATTGCCAGTTTTTCTCCAAAGATATTAACTAGAAACCCTTGAGATGTTTCTTTTCTCAACATTTTCTCGGCTTATAAGGCCGAAACCAGTTGGAAATGGGGTTTGGTCTCTATTTCAAGGACAGAAAATTGTTCTTCTCCTGGTTTTTGAAAAGACACTTCCCCTTCTCTACAACGAATGATCGCATAATTATATCCTAACCAATCCATGCCCAAAATCATATCAAAGTCCTTCATATCTATCATATAGAAATTAGCTTCTAAGGTTTTTTCCTCAATATCGAATTTCACTGCCTTGCCTAACTTGTCTGTGTTCAATATCCTGCCTGAGGTGAAGCTAACTTCTAGTGTACTCTTTAACTTATTACAAGTAATAGTAGATTTAACAGCAAAAGACGTTGATACAAAAGAGTGAATAGCTCCTAAATCAAATTGTATATAAGCAGGTGCATTGGCTACCAGTAAAATACCTGTTATTATGTTTAAGTTCCCTTCTGCATCTTTTTGAGTTAATGTAAAAACTCGTGCTTTCCCCTTCTTGTTCTGATCATTGTTATAATCCTTCCTCTGAGCAAATGTGGGACAATCCCTAGCAATATGTCCTGATTTGCCACACCGAAAATAGACATTCTTCTTATACAAGCATTCACCACGATGAGGCTTACCACACTTAGGGCATAGCACTACTGCAGCTACCATGGCCTTACTCGTGCTAGATCTGATATTAACTTTCTTATTTTGCCATTTGCCCTTTCCTTTGTCTTGACCATTCCACTTACTCTTTCCAATTGGCCCTTTTTCCTGCTGGTTGTACAATTGATGATGTTGCTCTGCATTATCCTTTTGATACCAGATAGCATGAGCTCGTTCCAGCATCTCACGGTATGATGTGAAGTGATGTGACATAAGGATCATACTTAGGCCTGGGTTTAACCCTTGCTCGAACCTTCGAGTTTTCTTAATTTTTGTGTCAACCAGATGTGGAGCATACTTTGTGAGTTGATCAAACTTCCGCTCATAATCCGTTAGGGACACATTACCCTGCTTGAGTTGAAGGAATTTTTTCTCCTTGAAATCCCTTAGAGATTGAGGAAAATACTATTCCATCACTTCCTCCTTGAATTGTTCCCAAGTTATTGCCAATTGCTGATCCGAAGCCCTAGTTCGGGACATCGAATCCCACCAGTGACTTGCATCACTGGTAAACATAAACTCCGTACATTGAACCCTTTGGGCATCAGTGTAGTCTATGAGCCAAAAAATTCGTTCTAGCTTACGAAGCCATTCCTCAACTACTAGTGGACTAGATGCTCCATCGAAGGTAGGGGGCTTATGCCTTCGAAATAACTCAACTACCAAGGCATGAGTTAGAAGAGTAATAGGAGTTGGTGGTGTAAGTGGAGTAGGATTTTGATTCAGCCTACCAAGATCTTGAACCGCTTGCAGGAGATCCCTTATCAAGCTTTTCTGGTTTGCTCGAGACATTTTCCTAGAGATAAGATATAATATCTCACATTAACTTCGTTTGCCAATTCCAGAATACTAAAAAAAAAATAAGGTAGTCCTCAAATTGATCATAATTTTCCTTTATTAATAGTACTAATTGCAATCAGGACATACAATAGGTCAATAATTTTTTTTATTTTTTTTTAAAAACATAAAGGAAAAGATATCACAAGAAATGGAAATCTAAATTTCTAATCCCTATGAATCTTACGAATCTTCTTCGGTGGAGCCTCATCTTTGGAGGAGTCTTCTATCTCAGGCCCTGACTCTAGGTCCATCTCAACTTGTGGCTCAGGTTCATGCTCAAGATCATTCTCTAAGTCCAACCCAAAGTCATCCTCATGCTCCCATTTGGGATCTTCCTCTGGGTCTGATTCAAACTGAGGTTCAGGCTCGAGCTCAGGCTCAACCTCATTATCGGGCTCAATTACTCTCTCCGATTGGGGTTCTAAACTCTCACTCCATCTGTCTAGAAAGGTTTGACAATGTATACCAAATTCAATCGTATTTGGGTGCTCTAGATGGTTACCCTCTAGCATCTCATCCCTAACAATGACTCCCATGTTTTCCCACTGAGGTGGAAGTGAATGTATAAGGTTATTCATAGCCTCGATATGCATGATTTCTAGTCCCGCATCTACAGCTGCCATACATCTCTCGTAGATATCATGTATGTGTTCAACAAGTGGACGAGACAAGTCAGTCACATAGTTCTCATAGGACTGGATGATGGCCCTACGGTTTAACACTGCTATACAAACTGTGGCCGTTCTAGCGATCTGATAAGTTCTAGCCATGTCTGTCACATAAGTGTCCAAATATGTGTTATCTTCATTAGTTATATCAGCTTATACATTATGCTCTTGAGGTTCTAATATGATGGCCAATCATCATTTCTTCACGTATATTTAAACAAAATATAATGTACATAGCATATTTCATTCAAAACACCATAAGCATTTTCATAGATTCAAGCTTAAATGATTAAAAAAAAGCATGCTCGAAAAAATAATGTGGAACATAATATTTTATTCCATACCTTGGGTTCGTCGGATGAGGTCAACTGATAGACGCAAGATGCCATGGAGTGCCTTAAATGTTTCATTTTTTTTTCATCTCATAAATAAAATACACTAAGTCTACAGAATCGACTAAACTCGTGCTCTAATACCATGCTGTAATGCCCCGACCTGCAGGGATGGAAACGTCACTCAACTATTGTACCTTAGCCGTAAAGTTAGTTCAATATATTTTTTTAGTAGACGGTATAAAGATTAAATTTTAGAATTTAATTAAAGAATTTTCATTTTTTATTTAAACAATAATCCAATTCTAAAAGAAAATAATTTCAAAAATATATTTAGAATGGCTTCCATGTATGTAACGACTATTGATATGAAATTTTGGAAAAACTTAAAAAGTAATGTTGCTGTTCCAGTTTTTTGTCTCAAATAGTAATTGTCAAAATAAATTTTTTTTCATAGCTATTTACCCTGAAACTTCATCAAATTTAAACACTTTAGTTTACACTTTGCCACATGACATTACCCTGTTGGACAGTTTAAATTTCAAACATCTTTCCCAAGCCATTGACACTTGACAACAATGCAAGTGTCAAACAAAGTATCGAAAATCAGTGTAGAAATAGCAAAGTTCCATCGGTAAGGACCTTGCTACATGTATACTATGGTGTACACTTTTATTTACACTTTACCACATGACATTACCCTGTTGGACAATTTAAATTTCAAATAGCTTTCCCTTCAAATTGACACTTGACAACAATGCAAGTGTCAAACAATGTGTCAAAAACCATTGTACAAATAGTAAAGTTCAATCGACACGAACCTTGCTACATGTACACTATGGTGTACACACTTTAGTTTACACTTTGGCACGTGACATTACCCTACTAGACAATTTAAATTTCAAGTAGTTTTCCCATCCCATTGATACTTAGCAACAATGGAAGTGTCAAACAACATTTAAAAAATCAGTGTACAAATAGCAAAGTTCAATCGATAAGAACCCTGCGACATGTACACTATGGTGTACACTTTGGTTTACACTTTGCCACGTGACATTACCCCGTTAGATAGTTTAAATTTCTAACAGTTTTCCAATCCAATTGACACTTGACAACAATGCAAGTGCCAAACAAAGTGTCAAAAATCAGTGTACAAATAGCAAAGTTCGATCGGTAAGAAACTTGCTACATGTACACTATGGTGTACACTTTAGTTTAAACTTTGCCATGTGACATTACCCTGTTGGATAGTTTAAATTTTAAACAGTTTTCCCATCCAATTAACACTTAACAACAATGCAAGTGTCAAACAATGTGTCAAAAATCAGTGTACAAATAGCAAAGTTCAATCGGTAAGCACCTTGCTACATATGCACTATGGTGAACACTTTAGTTTACACTTTGTCACATGACATTACCCTTTTGGACAGTTTAATTTTCAAACAGTTTTCCCATCCAATTAACACTTGACAACAATGCAAGTGTCAAACAACATGTCAAAAATCAGTGCACAAATAGCAAAGTTCAATAGGTAAGAAACTTGCTATTTGCACATTGTGGTGTACACTTTAGTTTACACTTTTCCACATGACATTACCATGTTGGACAGTTTAAATTTCGAACATTTTTTCCATCAAATTGACACTTGATAGCAAAGTTCAATCGGTACGAGCCTTGCTACATGTACACTATGGTGTACACACTTTAGTTTATACTTTACAACGTGACATTACCCTGCTGGACAGTTTAAATTTCAAACAGTTTTCCCTTACAATTGACACTTGACAACAACGTGAGTGTCAAACAACATGTCAAAAATTAGTGTACCAATAGCAAAATTTAATCGGTAAGAACCTTGTAACATGTACACAATGGTGTACAGTTTAGTTTACACCTTGCGATGTGTAATTACCCTGTTGGACAGTATAAATTTCAAACAATTTTCCCATCCAATTGACACTTGACAACTATGCAAGTGTCAAACAACATCTCAAAAATTAGTGTACAAATAGCAAAGTTCAATCGGCATAAACCTTGCTACAAGTACACTTTAGTTTACACTTTCCCACGTGACATTCCCCTCTTGGACAGTTTAAATTTCAAACAATTTTCCCATGCCATTGACACTTGACAAGAAAGTAAGTGTCAAACAACGTGTCGAAAATCAGTGTACAAATAGTAAAGTTCAATCGGTAAGGGCCTTGCTACATGTGCACTATGATGTACACTTTAGTTTACACTTCGTCATGTGACATTACCCTTTTAGACAGTTTAAATTTCAAATAGATTTCCCATCCAATTGACAATTGACAACAATGCAAGTGTCAAACAACGTGTTAAAAATCAGTGTATAAATAGCAAAGATCAATCGATAAGGACCTTGCAACATGTACACGATGGTGTACACTTTAGTTTACACTTCGTCACGTGGAAATACCCTATTTGACAGTTTAAATTCCAAATAGTTTTCCCATCTAATTAACACGTGAGAACAACGCAAGTGTCAAACAACGTGTCAAAAATTAATGTACAAACAGCAAATTTCAATTAGTAAGAAGCTTGCTATATGTACACTATGGTGTACACTTTAGTTTACACTTTGCCACGTGACCTTACCCTGTTGGACAGTTTAAACTTCTAACAGTTTTCCATCCAATTGACCCTTAACAACAATGCAACTGCCAAACAATGTGTCTAGAATCAGTGTACATTTAGCAAAGTTCGATCGGTAAGAAACTTGCTACATGTACACTACGGTGTACACTTTAGTTTACACTTTGCCACGTGACATTACCCCGTTGGATAGCTTAAATTTGAAATAGTTTTTCCATCCAATTAACGCTTGATAACAATGCAAGTGTTAAACAACGTGTCAAAAATTAGTGTAGAAGTAGTAAAGTTCAATCGGTAAGAACCTTGCTGGTGTACACTTTAGTTTACACTTTGCCATGTGACATTACCCTATTGGACAGTTTAAATTTCAAACAGTTTTCCCATCCAATTAACACTTGACAACAATGCAAGTGTCAAACAACGTGTCAAAAATCACTGTACAAATAGCAAAGTTCAATCGGTAAGAAACTTGCTACTTGCACATTACAGTGTACACTTTAGTTTACGCTTATCTACGTGATATTACCCTGTTGGACAGTTTAAATTTCAAGCA